GACATTTGCTCTTCCAATTTCCGCTGTTTTCTGTACTGCCGTGACGGACGGCCGTGGCCGTCTGAGCAGACAGTCATGCTCTACCAGTTAACACACCAACAAACCTAAACAAACGAGAATAGCTGGCCGGTGTGGACATTGAGAAGAATGGCAGCCGGACACCCACCCTTCTGGTTTGGTGGCTGGTGCGCTGCGGTGCACCAGTTCGTAGAGTCGGCTTTCTTGCTGCAACCACTCTTCGCAGGACAGAGAATACTCGTTCGTCCAACTCAACAGCCCTCGCTTCACTCCAAAAGCCAATTGGCCAATTGTTTCCAACCAGTTATTGCTTCCTTCCAAATGGTAAACTAGCACGAAAAGTCTCTTGCGAACCAACTTCACCTTTGGGTACACAAAGTATGCAGAATTTTCATTTTTTTCGCAATTCCTCCCCAGACAACACACCTTTTGGTTCAGTTTGCTGCATGTTTTCGCAACTTTGAATGTCTGTCACGCTGAGACGGACACACAACTCAACACTGGCTCCCCAGCTTGGCAGAACGGTGAAAACTGTTGGATTGTGCGAATAGGGACTGCATCGAAACCCATCTTTTATTCACATCTACAGCAAGACTGTTTGGAAAGATAAAGAAAAAGCCTTTTTAAGAGCAGACTGTTATGGCTTTGCTTCCATTTGGAAGGACATTCAGGCACGCTGGTTATTAAGTCATGCTGACGTCTGTCACGGTGGGACAGACGTTTGCGGAGTCTTGTCGTGAAAAAGTGGTGTTGCGATGCGAGGCGAACTGAAAAGCATGGGACGCCCAAGTCTGTGTCAAAACACAGACACTAGACGCGACCAAAGAAGTGATTTTCGACGCGGCAAAAAGCGAGTGTGAATACCGACTTGCCTGTGGGTTGAAGAAGCCAGTCATCCAGAACGACATCGGACGAGCCTCAAAAAGCCAGTTGCAGAGCTGCGTGTTCCTATCCAACAGCTCAGCCAGCCAGAAACCGAGTGTCGCAGACTCCCAAGAAATCTGAAGTTGTGCAAAAAAAAGAAGGAAAAAACAACTGCAATATTTTTTTGGCAGTTGCCAGTTCGAGAGGCAGCAGAGTTTATTTGGCCAATCCCGTGCCTAATTCGTAGGTTCTGGAATGATGCAAT